ATATCCCTGACAATGCCATAAAGACCCAGCTGCTTCAGCTCCGGCAAAGCTCTGCTTAGGCTTCTGTACTGCAGCCTCTGCAGGAGCTGCAGGAAAGCATCTTGACCGGAAGGAGGAAGAGTACAGTTTGGAGGCTGCAAGGACAGATGGATAGGGAATTCTTTCTTAGGACTTGGGAGGTCAGTGAAAGAGACACATGAAACCAATAAAGATACATAACTATGAAGATATATGCCACATATTCCTGAAGGAAATTCCACTTTCTTGGGGTTCATTGTTTCCAGAGTCTGGTAGCCAAAGGGAGAGCATGAATATCTCTTTAGGAAATCTTCATTCCTGCCAGAGTGGGTACACAATGTACTTAATGCCATTGCCCTCTGCCAATGCGCAAGTGCCACAGGGTTGCCCTGTACCTTCAAATCTATTTGTAAGTTTTCTCCTAGTAACTTCTCCTTTATTTACAACACGTGTGTGTGTGTGTGTGCGTGTGTGTGCGCACGTGTGTATGCACCCATGTGTGACTTCAGGGGCCACAGCCTGTGTGTGGAGGTCAGAGGACAACTTTCAGGAGTAGGCTCTCACATTCTACTTTGCTGTCACAGGGTCTTCCATGTTGGTCTTGCTGCTTGACAGACGGGGGGCTAGCCTCTTAGGGAGCTTTGGCAGATTGTCTTGTCTGTCTTCCATCCCATCCTCTGCTGATTCCAAATGCACACTTCTGCATCTGGCTTTTTGCATGGATTCTGGGGATTGAACTCAGGTCACTGGGCTTGTGTGGAAAGTGCCTCTGCCTCTGGGCCATCTTCTTTGCCAAAAGCTCTTTGATGATTTCAGTCTGTCTCACACTATGTTTCACACTCTGGTGTGTTGGTGTCCCATTTGTATGACTTTGTCCTTGTATGTTCTTCATCTTCAAGGACTTAGTGAGAAAAAGGCTGAAAAGGTAAAACAGCAACAGCAACAACAACAGGAACAAAACCCAGTTTCTTTTCTGAGAGTCCAAGGAAGAAACATTGTGATCCAAAGATAGTACTACAATTTGGTTTGCTCACATGGTATCCAACTGCCCCTCGGACACAGCTCGTCTTTGAAATTGTGTGCACACAGGCTGTATTTTCATGACCAGTGGTCTTTTGTAGCACTGAAAATAGTACCCTGAGTTTGGGGAGGCCATTGATCAACTTAGTTCCCATCTACCTGCTGAGTCACGTGCTCTCTTCCTCGGATATCCTCCGACCTGCTTTGAATTGGTGGCTGGTGGACCAGGCTCTGTTGTTGCCCTAATGTGCAAACACTATCCATTTATTCTTGGTCAAACAGAGGAAATAAAGCAAGGTCATTCATATGCCTGCTGGTATAATTCCTAATACTCATTTCTCTTGCTTAGTATGTACAATTTATAATGGCTGGTTTTATTAGTACACACACACACACACACACACATGCACGCATGCACACACTCACGTGCACAAATGCACACATGAATGTTACTGACTAAATTGTTTCCCCAAATTTATATGTTGAATTCTCAGTCCCAGTATACCTCAGTATGTGACTGTGTTGGATTAAAGACTAAACAGCTAACTGGGTTAAATGGTGACATGTGTGCAGGCCCGAGTCCAGGGTGTCTGACATTCTACTAAGAAGAGTGAGAGCCAGGTAGGGAGGCACACACCTGTAATTCCCACACTGCAGAGGCTGAACCAGAAGGGTCTTGAGTTCAGGGTCAGCCTGAGCTAAATCACAACATACAGTCTTTTAAAAAAAGGTAGGAATAGGTATCGGGTACACCCACAGCCACACAGAAAAGACCATCTGAGGATACGGTGAGAAGGCAGATGACAGCAAGACAAAGAAAGATCTCTCCATACCCCGATCTTGAACTTCTCCATACCCCGATCTTGAACTTCTAGCCTCTGAAACTGGAAAAACAAAATTGTGTTGTTTAAGCCACCTAGTTTATCACACTCTGCTTGGCAGACTAAGCAAAACGATTCAATGAGGCTAAGGATCTTTACACAGAATATGACTAGCTGTGTGTATCCTCACCCATTACAGTGAGGAGTAGAGTCCTCAGGGCAGTGGTTCTCAACCTGTGTGTTCCCCCTTTGGGAGGTGAATGACCCTTTCCCAGGGGTCACCTAAGATCATCAGAAAACACAGATATTTACATCATGATTCATAACAGCAGCAAACTTCCAACTACAAAGTAGGAATGAAATAATTGTATGCTTGGGGGTCACCACAACATGAGGAACATGCAGCATCAGGAAGGTTGAGAACCACAGCCTTAGAGGGAGTCAGGAGTCTTGCAGAACCCTTTAGGGAAGCAGCAGAGCACTGGGCATGATTTGGGAACCAGCACAACCTCTTTCAGGGAGAAAAAACTCTTTTTTTTCTCTGTCTCAATTAAAAAAATATGCACAGTTTTAGGTTTCACTCTGGTATTTTCCAAATTGAATCTGTTTGGGGCCCTGGAGATAAGGCCCGATAGTTAAGAGCACAGGCTGCTCTCTCAGAGGACTGGATTTGGTTTCTAGTAACCGCAGCAGGCTCACAACAACCAGTAACCCCAGTTCCAGGGTATCCAACAGGATTCCTTCTGGCCTCCACAGGCACTCACACGCAGACATACACATATACACACAACATTTAAATAAAAAGTAATAACTCAGAATCTGTTTTTGCTGGTTCGTCTCCCTTCCTCTTCTCCATATCCTGCACCCCAATAGCCTCTTTTCTACTTTAATGCTGTGTGTGTCCTTTTGCTCTTCCCAACTTTGTCAACAGTGCTTTCTCCTTCTCGTGGTCTCTAATCCAGTCTCATAGTCTATATTCACTCTCATACCCCTTACCTACATGTACACAATCATTAAAGGTTAGGATCCACATAGGAACAAGAGCATACAATGTTTGCCTTTCTGAGCCTGGCTCACTTCACTTTAATATATTTTCTAGATCTATCAATATTTCAGCACACTGTTTTCTTCACTGCTGGATAACATTTCATTGCGCACACATGTTACTTTTTCGTCTTTGATTCATCGGCTGACAAACATCTAGACTGATTCGTTTCTTCACATTACACTATGAAAAGCACAGCTCTACAAGATGTTATAGTATCCCTATGATAGGATGCAGAATCCTCTGACAAGCCCTTCACAGACAGCTACAGATAAAGCTATTCTCTTCATCTTGAGAATAAAACTGAGAACTTCCAATGCCTACTCACACTATAGCAAATAACATAATGGAAGCCAGTATTTATATAACATTTTAAACTTTACTGGGCCCTCTGTACATTCTTATACTTGTTCAGAAATAGGTTGTGATGATAGGTAGAGGTTTGAATTCTGGCTAGCCTGTTGACTATGGAGTTATGGTGATTAAACTCTCGGGACTTTTTTTTTATCCTTAGTAAAATGGTGATGGTACTAGGACCAAATGATAAAGATGGAATGGGAGAAATGTCTAGTATGATGCTGATGTATAGCAGGTAGTTATTTTCCTTCCTTCCTATAAAGACAGTTATTTGTGTCTGGTTTCCATGACAATTCCATGTTTATGCAGGACACATGGTCTCTCTGAGTGTAATTCATGCTACCCAGTGGCTCTTAACTCTGTGATGCACAGAAGCACGGTTGAAAGCGGTTCGAGGCTCCTCGATGAGAATCACATATCTGTAGCAGTGATGCCCTTAAGCATCTCTGACTAGCTGAAAGCTTTGTGATATCCTATCATTCATCCTCATCACTCATTTCAATGAAGAGAAACCATGTCTGATAGAGTGCTGTACATTCAGCTACAAAAACAGTGTTCCAATGCCTTCTTATATGTACCTGGGAATCAGGGAGCATCTTTTGGGGTTCTGGGTAAGGGGATAATAAAAAGAACAGTAGAAAGACAAAGTAGGCAGGACCTAGAGGACAGTAGATTGGAAAAATGTTTTAAGAGGGAAGGTGGGAGAAGCTGAACACAATTGTCATTTCTCATAGAGCCTTATTTAGCAGGATATGACTGGATCCTCTGGGAACACGTGCTGTTCTGCCTCTCACTAAAAACTGCTGTCTTTCTGCTCCACCCCTGACACATGTTCAGTCTCACCTACCCTAGGGTCCTGGCTCCTCCCACTGGAGTCATATATGGCCACCTGAACTATCTCACTGGTCATACTAAATGCCATAAAGTTCTAGAAATTTCTTTGTCAAAAATGAATTAGTTCTCCCTGCACTGTGGATGTAAATTGTTAGGATACAAAGGAAGTTGCTAGTTTAAAAGACCAGTGACAGCAAGGTGGTGGTGGCACATGCCTTTAATCCCAGAATTTGGGAGACAGAGGCAGGCAGATCTCTGTGAGTTCAAGGCCAGCCTGGTCTATAGAACGAGTTCCATGACAGGCTCCAACGCTACAGAGAAACCCTGTCTCTAAACAATAAAACAAAAACAAAAACAAACAAATAAAAAACATCGAGAAAGGACATGGTCTTGGTGTGCCTTGACTAGTTACAGACTAGGTTCATTAAGTAGCACTTTTCTCTAGTTCAGAGAAAATTGTAGGACACCAAAGTGTTCATGAAATGATTCTGTTAACAGTTCTGAGTAAAGGACATCGTGATTGAAAATACTAAGAGTAATGGTTAGACTACAGAATTAGATTTGAACTGAAATGATCAAACTGACAAAGTCAAGACTTATAATTTTTGTTACATCATATTAATTAATTGGTGTGTGTGTATGTGTGTTCCCTGAATTCATCTATCATGAGCTGTGACTGTTTTCCATGATAGAAACAGGTTAGACTGGTACAAACCTGTAGGAATTTCTTTAACTATCCTGGACACTCAACCCATACAGACTCCCATCCTTTCCCATTTAATCAACTAACATTTGTGGAAAGCCTGTTATCTGTGGGAGGTGCTAATCTTTAGAACATGCCTTATAGCATTTTCACCCATCTCTCCGTTTTTACCTTCTGTGATGGACCCAGGCAGACAATAGTGTAGGGAATGCATATTTAATAATTCTTTCGAATGGTCTCAACCCTTCTGTAACAAAATATAATGCAGACATCGTGATCCAAAGTCCAGGGAGACAGTGATTAACACATGAGCACGGGGAAGGATTTGGTGAAAAGTTTTCTCTGTCCGTATAAGATTCATTCCTCAAGTCTTCATTTCAAAGATCATTGCCCTATTTTCTTTTAGAAGTCTGTGTGGGCTGGGATGTAGCTCAGTGGTTTGATCTCCAGCACCCTAGAAACAAACAGAACTCCCAAACACAGAAGTCTCTGTGTGTTTCAAGGAAGATCCACTTTTGTTGCCTTAACCTGTGTTTTGTCCAGACCCAGTCTTGAGATCTAAAACCCAGAACTAGAATATTTGAAATGGAAATCCGGCAGCGTTTAAACCATACTTTCTGTGTGTCACAGGATGGATGGAGAGGGCTGTAGCAGTACATCGAGCAGAAGATAATGCCATGGAGAATTTCCCATGTCACTTGCCAACTGTTCACTGAAGGATGTCACACAATGTGGAGATCTGGCTCTCTTAACAGTAGCCAGAGACAGAAGTCGGTGCCCACTCTCAGGAAGCAAATGGACTTGCTTGTACTCACCTTTTTCTGGATATTTTCTATCCCAACTCAGGGTTTCCTAACCTTGATGTGGTTGACATTTGGAATTGGACAAGTTCTTTGTCAGTGGGATATGTCCTGTCTATTGCAAAATGTTGAACATAATCTGAGCTTTTTCCTCTAGACACCAGTAACTCTGCTCTCCTTCTTCCTTTAGCTGTGACAATTAGTCTCTCTACATTGCCAAATGTCATATGCAAGATAAAAAGGGGAAAACCACTCCACTTTACTCCCTGTGATGTAGAGGTTGGAAACTGAGGTCACAGCTATCCCTGCAGGATAGAAAGTAGAAACTTCAAACCTTATGGTGACATAAGGCCACATAGCAGGATGAGGCCAGCATCTATCATGGGCCATTCACAAATCAACATCATCTGAGAAATAAGTTGCATTTGTTTGCAAGAGGGAAGTTATTCAGATTATTTGGAAAATCAGCATCAGTTAACTATTTTGTTTGCTCTGCAATTATGATCACCCTCCCTACATCTTTGGCATTTGTCAGGTGGGAGGAGAAGCCAAAGCACTTTTGAAAGCATCCTAATGAGAAGTGAATCACTGGGCTTGTCACTCAAATGCTGCCACCTCTCAGTTGTGAAGTGGCGGCTGATTAGCTGCTTTTCACAGTGTACACTATGTTTAATGTGCTGAATACAAAACGAGTATATGGCGATCAAAACTATCCAGGAACCTTCAGAGCAACATTAGAATAGCCCATCCTCTCACTCCCCCGGAGATGGTGGGTAAGGGGAGGTCCCTGAGACATGGGAAAAACCCACCCTACACACATTGTAATAGCACTCTTACTACACTCTAGTTCCGTTGAATTATTTTCAAGGTCCATCTTGTTCCTACTGGAGGTGTCTGTGGGTTACTTTTGTTTTCTTTCTTGCATCTTATTCCTGTCTGTTCACTCCAGACTTCTAGACACGAATTCATTTTCTCCCAGAAATACAAAAGTAGGTCATATGTTGTGGAGAACATTTCTGTAGATTCCTGGGATTCTGAAAAGAACAGCAGTGAGATAATCAGGAGAGGCACTCAGCTAATGTTTACTGAGGACCCAGAGTCTACCTCCCCTTGCCTCTGTGTGAGTGTACTTCCTGTTTTGAAACAGACTTATTTTTCTGTATTCTATTGTTCTACAGTGAGCCATGGTCTGAAGGGCTGATGATGGCTTAAATCTTATGCTACAGGAGGACATTCAGTTATAGTGTCAGGAGAGATGCAGGTCCTCAGAACAAATAGAACCCGAGAGATGAAGGATGGACAGGTTCCTGGGGTGAAGCTGGAAGACACTGTACTGTCTGCCTCTACTCCTAGCCAGAGAGTGTGTGATCTAAAAGGCCATGGCCAATAATAACATGTGTCTCTAATAATGATCATCACTTTATTTTAGAAATGTTCTTAGAGAAAAGCAAACAAAACTAAACCCAAAATCTTCCCAAAGGAAAAATCTGCTTGGCTTAAAGTTATTCTTCTATAAAGTTATTTTCTATAGAAAGCAAAGTGGTAACTGAGTAGGTAACTCTGTGTGTGCTATGTGTGAACATTGTCTTTTACATGTATGACATGACTTTTTAAAAAGCTGAAAATTATTGCTCTAAGGGAATATGAGGAAAGGATGGATAAGTCATACTCTATAGGTTATGTTATCTAGTTGCTGCTTATTTAAAAACTCATTTAGAGTGGAAGCAGGGATCAAGAGAGGAAGATAGAGTTCCTCTTTCTACCTGTGAAATCCCTAAGGGACTTGGGAGAGTCTCCCCCTGCTGAAAACCGTGGGGTCAGAAGTGATGGGGGCTGGCAGATTTCCTGATGAAGAATCCACTTTTTACACTGCACTGTCTTAAGAGCTTAGAGAACAAGAGAGGGAAGAGAAACAAGAAATAAATGATCAGATCTCTGCCTGCGTCCAGATCTTAAATACCTAGACAAGGCATACATGTTCCTCAGAGAGGGTGGGATGCACCATGTAACATGGCAGGGAATGTGGGATTCAAGGGCCCTTGGGAAAGGGGTCTTCGACTGAAAAGCACTTCTCTGAAATGATTAGAGGAAGTCATGGATATGAATTGCTGTAGAATAAATTTCCCAAAAGGGGCAGGGTGGGAGAGAGCAAAAGGTGTGTGTGGTGTGTGTGTGTGTGTGTGTGTGTGTGTGTGTTTCGGGGGCAGGGGAATATTTGAGAGACAGTAATGGACTCCGATTGCTCAGCAAAATGCAAAAGATCTGATACAGTTGCGCCCAGACTTGTTCTGGGTTCTTGAACAAAAAGACACCATGGTGAAATCGTGTCTGAATATTTTCATCTGGTCCCTAGTTTCCTATCACCTGTAGCAGTGAGACAATTAGTCCAGGACTGGAGAGGTGGCTTAGTGGTTAAGAGCACCTGTTGATCTTCCAGAGGATTGAGGTTCAATTCCCAGCACCCACATGGCAGCTCACAACTGTCTGTAACTCTGATTCCAGGGACTCTGATAACACTCTTCTGGTCTCTATGGGCCATACAGGGTACATAGGCATACATATGACCAAAACTCCCATGTACATAATGTAACTAAATAAAATAAATTAGAATTAACTTGGATAAACAATGGCAAAAATGGATTAGGATCAGTGTGAGACAACCCGGAGGAAACACTGTAGGGTAGGGTCCATGGCAGCACACAGGACAGTCAGAAATCCCCCTGGGACTGAGTGTCAGGTATCATGGGAATGTCTCACAGTTCACGTGGGAGAGCTGACTGGAACTGCAAATTTTACTTGCAGTAGAACATTTAAATGGAAATGTCCTATCAGTAATTGGAGCCAGAGAACACATCTCAGCAGGAGGCTAGCTGGTGAGTCACCTGAGCCCAAGATAGACAGGCTAGGGTAGGGGTGGGGAAAAGGTCTCTTACCCAGCAATTACATACCTTTCACTATGCTTTGTGAATATCAGGGCAGCCTGGGATAATAAGTCAGGGCTAAACAGCTCTTGCTCCTTGAAAAGGTGTTTTTTGCACCCACTAGTGACTCAGCAAATGAACAGGTGTTTGAATTTACACAAAGAGTTGAATTGTGTGGAGCTGGTTTCCATATCTGTCACTCAGGACTCTGCTCTTGGTTGGCACCAGCAAGCCTTTGCTTTTCACAGTGCTGGGAGAAAGTCCCTGCCCTAGCAACCGAGCGTATTCCTTTCTTTGGCTGACGATGCTGGCGGTCTGACTCCTGTTTCCCAACACTTAGTCTACGGCTGGAGAAATGGCTCAGCGGTTGAGGGCTACAGCTGCCCAGCACACATTCTCTGCTTAGCTCACCTGCTGTACCAGTAACTTAGCCTGCTCTGGTGTGGCCACGGCCCCTCATCTTAGCATCAGGTAAGCGGAGAGAGACAGGAGTGCCCAGACGACCAAAAGGATGGAAGCAACACATGGGGGAGGCCCTGAGTTCAGCAGCTGCAGCTGACTCCGCCTTTTGACCTCCGAATCTGTAAAGAGAGAAAACGTTCAGAGTCGCAGAGAAGGTGGATGTCCCTTCACATGACAAATTTGTTTCTAAAAAGGGCAGTTCTGTTTTCCTCTCTCCACACTTCTAGAATCAACTGAAAAGAGTTTCCCTTCCTATGGGGCAAGGTCCATTCTGTGGTCCAGTTCCGTGAGGACACACACACAGCCAAGGGAAAAATCTGACACTTTTTCTACAGGAGGGCTCCAGCCAGTGCCTTGGTTTTGGGACTACTTTTCCCTAGGCAGTGGCCTTTAAAGGTTTTGTGTCATCAGATTCTATCACACCTCTATAAAATGATAAGGAACTATCAATTTTATCTTCTATGCTTTTCTTCCAGACAATCCAATTTCATGTAGCTATTTCAGTTCTGTCACTCATTAGGTGTTTAACTTCAGTAAGTAACTCAATGCTCATTTGCTCCAATTTCTTCCTCTACAAAGAAAGCTAAAATAAGCATGGCCTACTTCACAGGGTTATTATAAGGATTCCTGAGGGACTTAGAGCAGTGCCTGGCATATGGTCATTTGAGTGTTAGCTGCGAACACAACAAATATAGTAGATGAACTCAGCCTAATACCTGTTTCTCCCACGACCCTCACTTACAAATGTATTTCTTCAGTCACAATTAATAGCTCCTTCTTAGAGGCCCCATATTAATGCTGGGGTTAACTTTTTAATGATATTCGTGCTATTTATCTAGGTATCTAATGGGATTTAAAACTGCTATGAACATACTTGGCACTGTCTAGGCTGACTAGTATTTCATTGTGTGCATTTTATCCATCTGCTATTTATTTCATCAATGGACATTTCAGGCTTTAATTATCTTGACTATGATAAATAGTATTACTATTGCCATGAGCATACAAGTATTTATTTGAGACTCTTCTTTAATTTGTTTTGACTATACCTAAAAGTATGGTTGTCAGATCATATGACTAGCCTGTTTTTTAGAGCACGTCATTTTCTGTTGATTGCACAGGGTCAGTCCTACAACAGTGCATGAGTGGTCCGGTCCCTCTACTCATCACCAACCCTTGTTAATTCTGTGCACTGTCTTTTGGTGACCATCTCAATGGGCTTGGGCTCTGAGGAGATTAGTTTTCTGCTGTTTCACTTAGCTTTCCTCTCAGGATTGATGTCATGAAGCTCATATTGGTATGCTTTTTGGTCATTTGAATAACATAATTGGAAAACTGCCCTCTTTCTCATATGCTTATTTTCAAATTCAATTCTCAGGCTGGAGAAATGCATCACTGGCTTAAGATGCTTGCCATGATAGCATAAGGAGTGGACTTGAGATCCCCAAAAGCCTACATAAATGTCGGGTGAGCATTGAAGCATACCTGTAATCCCAGTCTCAAAGGGTGGAAACCGGGGATCAATCCACAGAGCAGGCTGGCTATCCTAACTAGCTCTGGGTTTGACTAAGAGCCCCTGTTTCAGTACATGTGTGCAAACACATGAAAAAAACATGCACATGTACACCATATACACACCAAAATGAAAAGCACACAAGCATGGAAGAGTGGAGAAAGGCAACAAGACTTCAGCTGGAGATGTCATTGGGTGTTAGACTGCTTGCCTAGCATGCACAACACCCTGTGTCTGCCAGTCTAGCCCTGGAAAACAAAACCTTTACATTTTAGCTACTTAATTTTTGTTAAGTTATAAGAGTTCTTTAAATATCTTGGGTATTAATACCTTATTAGATCTATGATTGTGAGTATTTTCTGCCATGCCATAGATTAACTTCCATAAATGTAATTCTAATAAAATGTAAGCTCCTATGATTTACTCAGTTACACTCAGTCATCCTGAGTGTACAAGGTATTTGTTGCATTGCTCTGCTCCTGATAAAGACAGGGGCTCTTTCTGCCAACTCTGTCCTCTAAAGGAAAGCTTCAGCGAAGCACAAGGTGCTGCAGCCTCAGAAGTTCCAGCTGAGTCTGGTTTTTCTTGAAACTGGCTTCCTCCTAGGCTTGGCATGCACTACAGCACTGCAGACAGGCGAGGGGGCTTCTTGGATAGGCTGCCAAGAGGTCACTTCAGGCTAAGGTTTCCAGATTTTCCTCGATAGTGGTCAATACTGGTCAGTATTGGTGAGATGTCACCCAGTCCCACGATGACTGAGTAAGACTGAGTCAGAGGGGTGGACCTCTGATCTTCAGATTCAAAACCTTCTCCAGGACAGGTGGGGATCTCGTGAGTTTGGGGGAATTTAGGATGTAGTGGATCACAGTTGTCAAATAGTCAACATGTCTCTACACTGCACCCAAGTATTCCCACTGACTTAGAAAGACTAAAGCTCTCTAGAAAACAAAGGAGAAGGCATGTGAGATAAAATCAGTCCAAGCCCTTTTGGAGGGAGGAGATTGAGACAGCCTCACTGTGTACCTCTCCCTAGCCTGGAGCTCACTTTGTAGATGAGGCTAGCCTCAAACTCACAGAGATCCACCTGTCTTCCAAGCGCTGGGATTAAAGTCAAGCATCACCATTACCTGCTCAGTCGCCATCTTCAACCAATATTCTATAGTTATTGTGCTGTGTTAGGATTTTGATTACATAAATCAGAGCCCACTGGGATTATGATAAAAATCTCTATAGCAATGGTTCTCAACCTTCCTAATGCTGTGACCCTTTAATACAGTTCCTCATGTTGTGGAGACCCACAACTATAAAATTATTTTCATTGCTACTTCATAACTGTAATTTTGCTGCTGTTATGAATTGTGATGTAAATATCTGTGTTTTCCAATGGTCTTAGGCAACACCTGTGAAAGGATCATTCGACCCTCAAAGGGATGGTGACCCACAGGTTAACCACTGCTCTAGAGGATCTGGGAGACTAGAGATTTTGGTGGCTTTGCTCATATTAGATAAATTCAGTTTTAGCGGACATATATTATTTTCTCTCTAATAATACATGTGAAAAACACAGGGAGGCCAACAGGTAGGCGTGTTTAGGAATAGAGTGCTCAGCTAGCAGCCCCAGATTCTGGGTTTCGTCTTCAGCAGCATGGGTGGGGGAGTGGGGGTGGGAAGCCTCAGGAAACCCACCTGTCACTTTGATGTCCCCTGTGGCTTTGGCAATGCTGTTCTGGATCATACAGGAGTATGTGTTGTTGATTGTGACGTTGTAGAGTACAGACACAACCTTCATGGTCACATTCTCAGAGTTCAACTCAAAGCTGGTGTTGGAGACTTCTGAGAAGTTGGCTCCTTGGTCAATTTGAGATGCCCAGGCCACCGTGGGCTGGGGGAACCAACGAGGAGCCTCACAGCGCAAACTCTCTGAACTGGCATTATAGTCCACGTTTATCTCTGGCACACTGAAGGCTGAGGGGTCAAAAGTCAGAAAGGATGAATGTCAAGGAAAGACAGATTACACAAAAAAGCCTTAAAGTTCTAGGTCTTAAAAACACAACGAGCCAGGTGGTGGTGATGTACACCTTTAATCTCATCACTGGGGGGACAGAGGCAGGTAGATCTCTGTGAGTTCAAGGCCAGCCTGGTCTACAAAGTGAGTTCTAGGACAGCCAGAGCTGTTACACAGAGAAACCCTGTCTTGAAAAACCAAGAAACCAACAAAAACAAAAGCAAAAAACCAACCACAATCACTCCTATCTCTTCAGTGAGTCAGTGTGTCCCCGTGGTGATGTTTGTGCGTGGCCCATTATGTTGTAGATATAAATAAATAATGATTTGTTTGCTCAGAGCATTGCTGTGCATTGTATCCCTTTGGCCAATACCACAAACTCCAGGAGCCAGAGTTTCATGTATATCAGTGTTATGATAGATAATGTTCTCTAGGTACAAGGATCATTTAACACAAAAAAGGAAGAAGGAAAGAAAAAAGTCTGTTTTCTTAGGCCAAGCCTTGGATGTCTTCCAGATTTCACGTTTTAAGGTAAAGAGGGAAGGAGAAGAAGAAAGAAACAAACAGCATGACAGCATTCTCCTATCACCACAGCAAGCCTTCTCACAGGTCTTGTCACCATGGGGATTTGGTCTTTGTTTGAGTAGATGCTATAGTTCTGATATCTAGGAATAGAATGGCAGCTGTTTGTTTTATTCTAAGAGATGCTACTCATTAAAGTGACATCTGGAAATTAAGACATCCCTTCTCCTCCTACTAGTCAGAGTAACATTCACAATATGTTATGGTTGTGTAGTTTGGTGTTTTCATAGGACTCCTAACAGAAGGAGTGGGGCTGTCTCTGATTCCGTTGCCTGCTTTTGGGACTGTTTCCTCCTACTGGGTCACCTTGTCCAGCCTTGATATGAGGGGGTTGTATACCTAGTCTATTGCAACTTGTTATGTCATGCTTGGTTGATATCACTGAGAAGCCTTCTCTTTTCTGAGGGAAATGGAGAAAGAGTTGATCGGGGGAGAGAGGAGGTGGCAGGGAGGGACTGGCTGGGAAGAGAGAAGGGAGAGGAAACTGTGGGCCAGATGTAATACATGAGACAATAGTTAGGTAGATAGACAGACAGACAGACAGACAGACAGACAGATGAATGAAGAAAGGAAGGAAGTGTTGAGGGTCTGGGCTTATTATTATGCCCTAATGGCAGTCCACGATTAATACTTTTAGAAGTTGTTGTGATGATGGTGATGATGAAGACTGTAAAGGAACATGTGCCACAGCACACCTGTGACGCTTGGAGCACAGTTTTGTAGAGCTGGTTCTCCTCTTTCATCTTTATGTGATGTGGTCATTTGCATGAGGATGGCTGCCACAAGCTCATTTTTGAATACTTGATCCCAGTGAGGTTTCACGTGCTCACACCATTCCAACTTAGAGCTCTCTCTCTGCCTCATGCTTGTGAACCAGATGTAAGCTCATAACTACTGCTCCAGTGCTATGTCTGCTTGCCTGCCTGCTGCCATACTCCATACCACGATGACCATAGACTCACCCTCTGCAACTGTAAGCCCCAATGAACTCCTTCTCCTGTAGTTGCCTTGGTCATGGTGTATATTGAGAACAATTGAAAAGTAACTAAGACACATGGTTTCTAGGGATCAAACCCAGGTTGACAGACTTGAACATCGAGCACCATTGCCTGCTGAGCCATCACACAAGACCCCCAGACAGCCAATAGTTTATAAAGCCACTTGGCTGCTTCTTTGCTCAGTGTTAGATTGATGCTGAGTGAGAACAAAAGGAAACCTTTCCCTTGCTGCTGTTTGTTTCTGAGACAGTCTCATGTATGCTGCCCTTGAACTAATCATGGAGGTGAGGATGACATGGAACTCCTGATCCCCTGGCCTTCAGTGCCACACACTGAGGATACAGGCTTGTGATACCACACCCTCCTCTTTCTTCCACTCCCAGTGAGCTTGTTCCATAGTAAGGAAGATGAGATGTACATGCTTGGAGCAGGTAGGGAACATGTTCCTAGGAGATGACATGGGAAACTAAGTCTCAAGAATATACTTTGTGCTGGAGATGTATTCCAAATATTACTTTATTTGATTCTTGAAATAATCCTATGGTTATCTGTTATTATACCCATGATAAAGCTTTAAAATTTTTGGAATTATTTTACTAATCTCTCTCTCTCTCTCTCTCTCTCTCTCTCTCTCTCTCTCTCTCTCTCTCTCTCTCTCTCTCTCTCTCTCTCTCTCTCTCTCTCGCAGGGTTTCTCTTTGTAACTCTGGTTGTCCTGTAACTCACTGTGTAGATCAGGCTGCCCTGGAACTCAAATATTCACCTGCCTCTACCTCTTGAGTGCTTGGATTAAGGAGTGTGCCACCACTCCTGTTTCTAATTTCTTAAAGAAATACATTTATTTCTATTTGGTGTATCTGAGTGTTTGCCTTCATGTATGCATGAGCACCATGTGCATAAAGTGCCTGTAGAGGCCAGAAGAGGGCATTAGATCCCCTGGAGCTGGAATTACAGATGGTTGTGAGCTGCCATGCACATTGCATGTGCCTGTTGGGAACCAAATCCAAGTCCTCTGGAAGAATATCCAGTGCTCTTAACCACGGAGCCATCTTTCCAGGCTATCCTGATTTATTAATTTTTAAAAGTAGCTTACAATTAGGTTTCTTTATGTGAACAACTTAGATTTACATAGAAGTTCCAAAGACAGTATTTGGTAAGAGATAATTCCTGTAAAGTTCAGTATCCTCTAATGTAGCATCTTATGTAGCCATTGTCCTTCTGTCAAAATTGAGAAACCAGCATGTTAAAACTCCAGGCTTTATTTGTAATTAACCCATTTTCCCATTAACATTGTTTTTTCTGTGGTTGTCCCAGAATCTCATCTACTATACCAGCGTGTTTTTAGTCATGTGTCACCTCAGGTTCTTATTGGCTGTGGCATTTACTCAGTCTTCCCATACTTTTTATGGCTCTAACAGTTTTAGTTCTGTTCAAGTATGTGTAGAGTGCCTTTCTGTTGGGACTTAGGGGATGTTCTCATGGTTAGAGTTGAGTTATGGGTTTTGGAGAGGAAGAATGTGGTAGGGTAAAGTTCTCCCATCAACATGGCATGCTAGAAGGTGCGTTCTCCACACCAGTTGTGGGTGGGAGGGAATGTGCGTCAGGTGTCTTTGAAAGTTGGCTTCCCTCCTCCAGTGAACACTGACTGAGCTGAGTGGGAAGACATCGGACAGCACCTCCTCCTCCTGAAGAGGGGAGGGGGAAGCCAATTATTTGGAATTTCTATCTGAACAGAATTTGTTTTGTCTCCCTCATTGCACATTTAAGTGTGCGCTGTAGACCCCAAGTCATGATTCAGTATTGTGTTTTCTTGTCTCGCTGTTTAGGTTTGTGACTGAAGTTAGTGCAGTTGCCCTTACTGTTTGGCATTGCCCATTAGTCTTCCTCTTCAGAGGAAGAAGCCGAGGCTCAGACAGGTTGTGTGTCACTCTCCTCATCCAGGTATGGCTCTAGGGTTATGCTTTGTAGCATTACATATACACGGGAGGTGTTCAAGAAAGGCCTACAAAGACTCGTTTAGACTACAAAGCACAGGCTACTTTATGCCCACCCTTTAAGGCCCCTTTCAACTTCTCCATGGGGCTTCTTATCCCTTCCCTCGTGTGCATGGGTGTGTTCTCTCCCTTCCTTTGACTCCTCAGTCACTCTATTTCTACTTCTCTTAAGGTGCTGTTTGTCACACAGACCTTCACTTCTGTAAGATCTACACTGGAAGCTCTGTGAAAGGAGGGATGACCACTTTTGTTTATTTATCATCTTCATATTCTTCATTGTATTCATCTGAATCCCTTGTAGATGATTTCAGAAAATATCTATTAGACTGGGTTGACAAGAAAGTATGGGTTTCACTGGGACGGTAGTACTGAGTTTATATGAAAGCATTACTTTATTTGTTCTTTTTGGACTTCTCCCTAATAGTCAGTGTCAGGAGTCTCTGAAGAGACTCATTTCAGATGTGGGCTTGGGCCCAATTAGTTTTGAAATATCCCAGCACAGATGATAGGCTTCTCTTATTAGCAATGGCAGGCCCTACCTTAAAGAGACTATTTATTAACCATGAGTGGTGGTCCTTACCTTTAATCTTGGTAGTTGGGAGGCAGAGGCAGGCAGATCTCTGTGAGTTCAGGCCCAGCCTGGTCTACAGATGAGTTCCAGGACAGCTAGGGCTACACAGTGAGACTCTGGAGGGGCGGGGAGAGAATATCTTTTGGAATACACCTAGAAATTCAAAGATGAGAGGCTAGAAGAAAATATTTTAAGTCCTAATATTATAGTAGATCACTGTGGAAGCTGGTATGGTCTTGGCATAACAAGTTGGCTACTAACAGAACTGAGGAAGTTTGGGTCCAATATTGGTCACGTATGAGCACACCATGATATTTCATCAGCAACTTGTGCCCTTTATTCTCAGATATCTCTGGGTCCTTCCCTTCCCCCCACCCTGCAACTCACCTCCAGTCTTATACTCAAGGTTTGCATTCCCCTTGCCTTTTGAGGTGTGGATGTGACACGTGTAGGTGCCAGCATCTGTGAGCTGCACGTTTTTCAGCCTCAGGGAAGCATTGCCAACCACCACTTGATCAGCAAACACTGCAGTCCGGCCTCTGAACATGTCATGCTGTTGAGAGAAATCGTCTTTGCCACCTTTGAACTCGTGGACGAAACCTGTGGTCCCTTCTTTCAGCCACTGGATGACGATGCCATTGAGCTTGATGTCGGGTTCAAAAGTGCAGCTCAGGATGCCATCCTCTCCAATGTTTCCAGCCGAGGTGAACGTCCTGACTGTGATGAAGTGTTTGCCTGCGATTCAGGAAGGACCAATGCTGGTGAAGCCCTGGTACTTGGACAGCCAGGGTCTTCATTAATGCAAGCCTGACAGAGATGTCCAGATCAATTAGAAGCATTTTTAAAGACACGACAGAAAGAGCAGGAAGCCATGTTGATATCTATAGCAGACCTGCTGCGCACAGTAGCTTTTGCAAGAACAATCTCCCCACACCTCAAGAGGCAGCAAGAGGAAAGCACATGGGAGTTGAGGGTTTGGATACGAGTATTCAAGTCCTGGCTTTGTTCCTTAATCACCGTGTAACCTTAACTAAGTCATATGACTCCTCTGACTCCCAGGAAAACCGAGATAACAGCCTCTGAGAAGTTAGTGTGAGGAACAAATCAAACGTGTGTAAACTTGATTTGCAAACGGCAATTACACAAGTAAGGCATTATTCTTAGCTAACCGGGAGTAACACGAAGCTAAACTTCCTATTAATTAATAATAGTACTTCTGAAGAAAGTTAAATTCTAATGTGCAGGGACTCTGCTTTCTTGGAATGATGAAGAAACTCAGGCATCGACAAGGGAAGTGGCCGGACAAATGTTGCAGTGTTATCTACATCATAATGAAGAGTGGTACTTAGTGACATTTGGTCCAAGTTAGACGCCACCCTCCTCACCTCTTTGATCCTACACTTGGAGGAACATTGACTATGGTGGTATCTCCACTCTATGGCATATCCTTCCATTGTCCAGCCTACAGCCCACCTAGTCTGGGGCTTCTTGGTGCCAGCTGTTCTAACTGAGGGCACCCTGGGATGATTAGTTTTAGAGTCTCCTGTGACACAGATATGAAGCTAAGGTGGTGGTTATGGAGCCTGAAGGATCGTGGAGTAGATCCAAGGCACTGTGGGGAAGAGACCGTGGAGGTTCTCATCGTAAGAACCTTGTCGGCTGCTGAGGATAGTCAGGGCTGCAGGAGGTCCTGCCCACCTCTGCATATTCTCCCCATAAAAGCCTGGCTTATGCATTTAAGATGATCCTCCCAAGCCTTTCTGACACTCACAGACATCATCATGATGGGGTTGGACTCTTCTCAGCTTTCCTTTCAGCTTCCTTACTGGCTTTCCCACCGTTCCTGCCTGCCTCCTTCCCACATGTTTTAAATGCATTGATTGATCTTGCAGTAGCTTTCTTAAAGTACAATCCGAATACACCTGCCACCTAGCCACCGATTTCCCATGGTTACTATGGGTTCTGGAATGAGTTGCAGATTTCCCAGCCTGGACTTCAGTGCCAAGCACTGCCTGGCACACAGTGAATGCCTCTTGTTTCTGGCAGTTTCCTCTCCCACTGTCTCCCTCCATCGTCTGTTTTGTCTGTGTCCAATGGTTTGTTGATTTTTCTTTCTTCAACTTAAAGATTCATGAACAAATAGTACATGTTCCTTTTCAAATACAGAAGCAAATATTCTAGCCATAAGGGTGTCCTTGGCACCTCTAGCTCATTAAGGCTTGGGATTGTTTAATTGACTCCAAGACCTTTGTAAAAGAGATGAGGGTAATGAATGGGAAATAGAGCCAAAGATACTACTCAGCTAGATAGATTTGCATAAAAAGAGCAGAGGACTGTGAATAGAAGAATAAGTATAGCTAGAAAACAGAGGCCAAGGAAACAGGCACACACATATATATAGGCTGGTCTGGAAGACGTTTTTGAGGCTTGACAGCATGGAAGAAAGGGATTTGGGGAGCAGTTGCCCTGTGTGGCCTTTTGTGTGACAGATTTGGAAAACTAGGAAAGACAGCAAAGGGAGGTTTGACTGTGTGATAACACAGCTCCCTGTCTTCTGCCTTGTATTTCCTTGAACATGGCTTTAAAAGTTCAGGCTTATTTTCAATTATCTTTGTTTATGTGAAGGTCAAGGCTTGCATGGGTTGAGTGGTCACACTCTGTGCCTTTCCAAGCCTGTTCATCTTTCTCCTGTCCAGAATTCTGGCTCTCCTGTACCCTGGTTAGCCACATTCCACTCATATTGGAGTCAGTGAGGATGGCAGTCCTTCCGGGAATCCCTCTTTAGTCTATCAAAGTAGAACCAATAGACACACTCCTCCCCATAACTCTTCTTTCCCTTTATCATGGTAACTGCCTCCTTCCTTGCCTCACATCTGGACTATGCACTCATCTGTAAGTTTTGTCCAAGGAGGGAACAGTTTCAGTCGTAACTGCAGGTCTGATAGTGTTTACTGCTCTGTTCTATGAGTTCCCCAGTAAACGGGAATAAATGCAAATCAAGCACTGCTCATATAATCTATTGCAAGAGTAAAGAGCTAAGGTCACCATGTGTAAATGCGGGAGAAACAGCCTTAAAAAGAGGGCAATAAAGAGCCATACAGATCCTCAGTGAAGCTGAACACCACCTGGGACTCAGTCAGAGCCTAAATGAAGGTGACTGTACTTTATAAAGTGTCATTGAAGTTAATCTGGAAAATTACTTTTTCAGAAAAAAACCCACATCATTAGTGCAATTATGGAGGAAATGAAACGATAATGACATATCTTAGTTTGGTAATTGTGTTACGGAATTCATTTTAATGTATTGGCCTTGAGCCCACAGGTAGGGAATCCACTGACACATCTCCTAGAGAACTTGGTGATTAAAAATAGGCAGCTTTAGCGTGCCTGGGGACCTGCTGCAGCTTCAGGTCATTTGAGTTCCTGTTCATGATGTGGCCAATGGGGTGAGCCTAACACTGCTTGAATCCTCATCCATAGGAAATAAAGGGGGAATAAAATCCAGTGAGAACTTCAGAAAGCACAAAGAGCTGGCTTGCTTTGCATCTGGCCCAGCAGTCAACAAATTCTTGTTTGTTACATGCATAAATGAAGATTCGAGATGATTAAGTGGAACTTAATTTGCAAAAGCCAGAGTCTGTATTTAAATGTGCAAACACATCCTGGCTCAAAGAACATCATGTCCAGACCCTGGCCTGATGCACTCTCCAGGCTTTCTGAGCACCAGAAAGGCTCCTGGGTGACCGGTGTGCAGGGGACAAGAGTCCCATGGAGATGCATTAGAAGCCACTGTTTATGGAAAGAGAATTCTTGTGGTGGACACAGATTTAAATAATCTCATTGGCTGCTAAGCAAGATGGGGCATTTACTGAAAATAAACGATTATCTCATGAGGGTATCCTAATTTGGTTTCTATTGCTATAATAAAACAGTGTCCAGAAGCAACTTGGAGGAGGGAGTGGCCATTGGGATTCCTCCCACATCATATTCCATCATTGAAGGAGGCCAGAGCAAGAGCTCAAGGCAGTCACCTGGAGGCAAGAACTGAGGCAGAGACCATAGATTAACGCTGCTAACTGGATCACCTGTTCTGCTTGCTCAGCTGTCTTTCTAGTTGAACACACTTATTTTTAATGTATGTGAGTGTTTGCCTGTTTGTATGTATGTGTACCACACATGCCTGGTATCCCAGGAGACCAAAAGGAGGCATCAGATCCCCTGGAGTTAGACTTCCGGGTGGTTGTGATGCACTATGTGGGTTCTGGCAACCAAAGTTGGGCCCTCTACAAGAGAGGCAAGTGCTCTCAACTGCTGAGCCCCTCAGCTGCTTTTATTGCACAGCCCAGGCTCACCTGCCGCTGGGTGACACCACACACAGTGGGCTGCACCCTCTCAAATCAAGTAGCAATTAAGGAAATGCCTCACAGATAAGAACCTCATGCTAATCTGACCGGGGCAATTCTTCAGCTGAAGTTCCCTCTTTCTAGGTGACTCTGGGATTATGTCAAGTTGACAGCTAAAGCTATGACATAGGGACAGTTCCTATCGCAGCTCTGGTCGCGTGAGGAAAAGCGTGGGAGGTACCAGAGGTGAGCAAGCTGCTCACATCTCAGTTTTCACACAGGAGAGTAATGTTTCATTGACTCTCCTTATAGGAGCAGGGATAGTACAGGAAACATGAGGCAAGCATTTCATAGAATCTGTGATGGAAATGGTAATAAATAAAACTTAGAAAACGAACTGTCCTTCGACACGATGAAGTCCAGGATCTATACATTCCAGTGGTGTAGAACACACTAGATGCCATTAGTAGATGGTCCTATAGCATCTACTGGCGCACAGCTGCACAGAATTCACCAAAGCACATGGCTTAGTGATGGAAACGCACAGTCCGCTTCAGGCTGGGGTGACACCTGTGGGTACCATGCTAGCCAAAGAGGAAAAATGGGTGTGTAGCAGTTGCTCATATGAGAGAAAATTAAGATACTGGGTCCGGAGAAATAAAGGGAAGATGTAGGGAAGTGGCAGAATGTGGGTGTGTGGGGACGTGGCAAAGACATCACACTGTTCTGTCACTTTCTGGATATGTGACACTGGGCAATGCTTCGAAGATCTTTATTAGTGCTTTTATGTGTAAAGTTAGGACCTCATGGGGTCCCTAAAAGGACTAAATGATACAGTGCAAATAAAGAGCTTCATAGTGTACCCGATTTGTCGTGCTGAACCTTAAATCTTGGCGATTGAAAACATTAACTCCAACAGTTTGGAAAGACAGCGGATCAGGGCCTTGGGAGGTAAGAAAGGAACATCATACTAAATGCTTTACCCTTAGTGGCTCATTTCAAGCCATAAGAGGCAAGAATGAGCATCAGACCCGTTCTTCGAGTCAGTATAATGAAGCTCTGAGGTTAGCTTAGGTGCCCTGTGCCTAGCAAGTAGGGGAGCCAGGGCCAAACCAGTCCTGTCTGGTACTTAGCTCAGGCTTCTTGTAGCATATTTTCCTGATAACTAAGGCCAGATTGAAATATGCCAAGAATTAACCCATTTTAAAGATATCACCACTTTAAGATAAAAGCAATAGGGCTGGGAATGTAATTCAGTGAGAGTACTTGTCTGGCATGTGTAAAACCCCAGGCTTAGTTCAGCCCAACACTGAAGCACATAAATGTAAAAACTTTAAAATGGAACAACTAAAGGTCATAGATATAAGAAACACGAGGAACTACTTTTACAAATGTCCGTAATGTTTGGAAATATCAAATGTTTTCCAAGTAATTCACGTAACGCTTCTGATAAGAAGACAGAGGCATATCCAGGTCCCAAAGGTGGAACATTATTGGATGATGTCTTAAAGAGGTCTTCCTTGGGCTGACCAGAAAATTGTGTAGTTCCTAAGAGGTGCTGACAACAGGAAATGGGTATTAATAGTATTCATGGTGTCAAGCTGTGTCAGCCATTTATGTCATGCATATGTGCGAAGTTTCTAGGTTCTCACATTGATCTCACATATTTTAACAGGAAGAAAACTGATTCTGGAAGATGATGTTACTTCCCAAAGGGCATGAAGTTGTTTAACTTGAGACGTACCTACCTCTGATCCTTAAACTCTTCCACTGTGTGGAACTGTTGCAGATGGCCCGTGAGTGACTATAGTTCAGTGCTGGGGGCCACTTACTGTGGCAGGGACCTTTCTGTTACATCACCTTTCTTCCTGAATGTCCTTTAACTAGGGGTTGATGAGAGTCTCACAAGCTCTCTTCCAAGCAGTGCACCATAAGTGCAGTTTGTGTTGTATGGGGCCACATTTAGAATGCTTACTTACTTATTTGCTTGCTTACTTTTGCAGTGTTGGGTGGTACCCAGGATTTTGTACATTGGGTGAGTGTTCTGATACTGAGATCCATCCTCAGTCCTTGGCTTTGTTTTTTTTTCCCCTTTTAGTTATTAGCATATATTAATTAGTGATACATGATAATGAGTTTCATTATGATTTTCATAAATTTGGTCATATTTACCCCATTATCCCCTTCTTGTCCTTCTGCTACTCCCGTGGATTCCCTTCTTCTAAGGCTCCTTTCTACTTTGTCTCTCTCCTGTGACCCCATAGACTTAACTAGGGTTTCTTATATGCGCATGCGTGAGAGATTATCTAAGAGCATAGGTGATGCAGCAGTGACTACACCACTGAGGAGTCTCTCCCTACCCCAGCCCCAGTCACCATTAACTGCCACTAGCTCCTTGCGGGAGGGGAAGGCTCAGAGCTTCTCACCCCTAGCAATTGCTATTGCATATAAATCCTTATGGAGGGAGAAGAGAAGAGGAGAGCACCCAAGATTTAGTTACGGGAAGAGAGAGGAAATAACATAAACCAAAAGAAAGTAAATAAAAAGGAATACAGATGGTCTGCCACTTTTGGTGATTCAGTTTGTGATTATTAGACTTTATGATGTTACAGAGTGATATTCGTTTAGTAAAAAGTACACTTCAAATTTTGACCTGTGCTGGTGATGTGTGGTGGTGCTAGACCCAGTGGTGAGTGTAGCTTCCATTGAGTACATGATCACATGGCCAATGGCCTCACTCTGCCTAGACCCAGTGGTGAGTGTAGCTTCCATTGAGTACATAATCACATGGCCAATGGCCTCACTCTGCCTAGACCCAGTGGTGAGTGTAGCTTCCATTGAGCACATGATCACATGGCCAATGGTCTCACTCTGCCTAGACCCAGTGGTGAGTGTAGCTTCCATTGAGTACATGATCACATGGCCAGTGGTCTTACTCTGCAGTCTGCTGTGTGCTAAACATGGTGTTTGAGAGTTGCCCTGAACTTACAATGTTTCCAACATACAATTGGTACATTGGAATGTAACTCCATTATCAAGGACCATCTGTATTAGAATGAAACAGATAGCAAGTTCAGAAATATATTAATGCACACATGAATCGTTGGTTTATGATGATGGAGGCATTAGAGAAAAGAATGTATTTTCAACAAATGGTGCTGGGTCTACTGGGCAGCCACATTGAAATACTGAATCTTGACCTGGATGTCATAAAAGCCATTCTAGATGTTTGTAAGCATACTCACATGAGGTAAAATGATAAAGCTTTTAAAAACTTAGAAGATCTTCATGACCTCAAGGAAGGCAAACATTTTAAAAATTGATTAGATTAAGTTCCACATATGAAGGAAAAGATTAATGGATTTGGCTATGTTAAAACAAAGGTCATTTGTTCATTGGAATATATGAAAGGAGTGAGAAGGCAAGCCGTAGATCAGGAGAGATCTGGTAACACACTTAGCCTGTTTGCAACCAGAATATACAAAGAACTATAAGTCAAAAAGAAAAACAAGGGACTGGAGCCATGTTGCAGAGGTTAAGAGTGCACACTGCTCTTTCAGAGGACCTGAATTTAACTACCCAACTAAATTGGGCAGCTCACAACTGCCTATAAGCCAGTTCTTTGGGGGTGTCTAATGCCCTCTGCTGGCCTCCCTGGGCACTGCACTCATATGCACAAACCTGCTCTCAAGACACAAGTCCATAAAATTAAAAGTAAAACTAAAATCTTAAAGAGAGAAACTCAATTTTAAAATAAGTAGAATATATATTTGATGATAAGGAAAGTGGGTAAGGGAGCTGGTGCCTTGTGTAAGCAAATACACGTATAGCAAATCTTTTTTAGTTCAGCCTTGTGGCTGCTGTTTAATAACCGACCATGCCCTGGAGGAGAGTAATGATGGAGGAAAGAAGCTGCCAGCTGCTGAAAATATGAAGACTAACATCATGAAGTGACATCTTGGTCACAGACCAAGTTAAAATAAGTATGTTGGCCCTAGTCAGGTGGTTCATGGGAAACAGTCAACAACTCAGAGAGGACAGCTGCCATCTTCTTCACATGCCTTCCATCATAATTAATAGCATCCACAATAGATGTTCTAGAGAAGTGACATATCAGAAGAGGGACGAAATGGTTTCTTGTGTGACAGGAGCTAACTACCTCTGAAGAGTGGGTACTGTGGCATATGTTTCCTACATGATACAGTAGCCATAGCCAGTTATCCTTTTACCTAAGGTCTCTGTTTAGAAAGGCTAAAGTCTAAGGAGATAAATGTCTCAGGCAAATGAGACACAGTAGACAGAGCAAGTGCTCTACTTGGAAGTTTTCTGGGGGAGAGCCCTGTTCTCACATGTCACAATGAGCGAGAAGAGGGTTAACAGAGATGGGCAGAGCATGGACTGTGATTGATGGCACATACCTGAAATACCAAAGCCAATGATGAGTGCAATTGCTCCAGCCAGGATAATGATGATGTTAATAACACTGTGGACAGAGTTGGAGAAACAGGAAGTTACTTTTTGTTTCATCTGACACACTGCCTCACAACCATCCCGTGTAAACGTGCTATGTCTTACAAGCACATCTCACAAGCTTTTCTCCCGCATAAATCCTTCCTGTAAGTACCTTAGAAGTCCCGTTCCCATCCTGCTGGAGTCTGGGGACAGGTGAAGAAACTTCCCTTTTATCTGACGGTGTCAGAGAAGACCATCAACACTGTTGAAGGAAGACCAATGGTAATAGCTTGCTGTATTACCCAATGGCACTAGAGGAGAGCCTATGGCTTACTCAGAATTACCCTTATCAACACTGCCCACCTCTTTGCATTATTTGTTTTTCTTTCTTGATTCTTTCTGTAGACCTTCACCTCCACCTGGTCATGCCTTCTCCGCTTTGTATACACTCATATCTGGTCTACCATGCCCTGCAGGTTCTCAGTGACTGTCTTCTGTCCCTTATTTTAAAGAAGTGGGCTGGGGATGTAGTAACAAATCCCATGCTTACAATTGCACATCTAGGTGTGAACCCAGGTACCCCCTAGCCCTTTAATTCCTGTTTCTCCAGACTTATTCTTTAGCCATACTTTCCATCTTAGCTCCATTCCCTGAGGACTCCACATCTTGGTGCAGACACAGGGCCCTCTTAGCTTTTTCCCATTAACCTACTCATCCCTTCTAGCCCACCTCCATTCCTTTGTGTCAGCTGCTGATCTGCAGAAACACTTTCTACCAGAGAAACCACAATGGTAGGGGCTCACCATCCTTCCTGTCCATTCCAACCTCTCTAGACTTACCCTTAGCCTGCCTGAAGGATCCCCTCCCACACCCCACCTCTACTCCCTGGGAACTCTGACTCTTGGTGTGGACGCTCTGTCTCCCTAGCTATTTTCTTCTGCCTATCTTTGTCTTTCCTCTTAGACCATTTCTATTTCTTTGCAGTATATCCCCAACTGACACAAGCAATCTCTCCTTGAGATTCCTCAGTCACAATACTTTCCTAGTATCTAGAGTAGATAATAGCAACCAAAGAACAGAACTAACCACCCAAAAAAGACCAAATATCTATGCCAAAACACCTCAAATATAAGTACAGATACATAGATCCCAGTGCAAAAATACACACATGAACAGCTAAGACAATATGCCTACTCTGAAAGCTGGTGAGACTATTTCAATAAGCCTTGAGAAATTCAGCTTAGATGAAGAATAAGACAAGGATTTCCAAGTAGCAATTATGAATATGTTCAAAGACCTCAAAGAGGGTATAAACCAATACTCTAATGAGGACTGTGGAAACACAGTTAAATAAAATAATGAAAACATTTCAAGACTTCAAGATATGAAAGTCAAAATATAATCACTAAGTAAAATCCAAGCTAAAATAATAGTGGAAATGAAAATGAAAAACTTAAGAAACAAACAAAAACCACAGAGATATGACTTCCTAGCATATTACAAAACATGGGAAAGAGAGTTTCAGGTCTTGAAGACAAGGTAGAAGAAATGGATGGCAAAGTCCAAGAAAATGTTGAATCTAAAAACATTTAGGCACAAAACATCCAGGAAATCTGGGAAATTATGAAGAGAACAAACTGATAAGTTGTAGAAATAGAAGAAGGAGAAGAAGCCCAGATTAAAGGCACAGAAAATATTTTAGATGCTTTTCAAGGTACAAGAACCATACAGAATAACAGACAGACAAGTTGTAAACTAAATTTCCCACAAAACATAATAATCAAAACACTGGATGTTCAGAACAAAGAAATGATATTAAAAGCTGCAAGGGAAAAAAAGGCCCATTAGATTAACATTGGAGTTCTCAATGGAGACTCTGAACATCAGAAAGACCTGGGCAGATGTTCTACAAACTAAGAAATTACAGATGCCAGCCTAGACTACTATACCCAGAAAAGCTGTCAGTTACAATAAATGTGGAAAGAAAAGCATTCCATGATAAAAAACAAACTTATACAATATCTAACTGTAAATACAGCACTATAGAAGACAGTAGGAGGAAAACTTCAGTCTGTAGAGGCTAAGTACATTCAAGAAAACACAAAGAATAAATACTCATAGAACAGTGCATTAAAAAATGGGAGGAGCCACACCACCACAACAAAATAACAGGGATCAATAAATACTGCTCATTGATAACTCTCAATATAAGTGGTCTCAATTTCCTAGTAAAAAGACAGACTAACATTGAGTTAGAAAACAGGGTTCGCCTTTCTGCTACATTCAAGAAACACACCTTACCATCAATTATAGACATCATTTCAGGGTAAAAGGATGGAAAAGGTATTCCAAGCAAATGGACCCAAGAAGCAAGCAGAAGAAGATATTTAATATTTGACAAAATAGACTACAAAACCAATACAGTCAGAAGAGATGGAAAGACATTAAAGAAAAACATCAAGACGACATTGAAATCCTAAGATTCACCAAACACAAGGGCATTGTGGGGGTTTGAATGAGAATGGCCACCATAGGCTCATATATTTGAATACTTAGTCTTCAGGGAGTGGCACCACTTGAAAAGGAAGTATGGCCTTGGAGGACATGTGCCATTGTGGGTAGCCTTAGAGGTTTCAAAAGCCTAAGCTTGGCCCAGTCTCTCTGTCTCTGTTTCTCTCTGTCTCTGTTTCTCTCTGTCTCTGTTTCTCTCTCTCTCTCTCTCTCTCTCTCTCTCTCTCTCTCTCTCTCTATATATATATATATATATATATATATATATATATATATCCTTCCCTCTCCCCCCTCCATGCTTCTGTGGATCCAGATGTAGAACTCTCAGCTACTTCTCCAGCACCATGCATGCATACATGCTACCATGCTCCACACCATGAAGATAATAGACTAAATCTCTGGAACTGTAAGCAAGCACCAGAACAGTGACTAAGACAGAAGTTGGTACCAGGAGTGGAGTATTGGTACTTTAGATTAGAAAAGCAGTTGAGTGTTATAGGCAGGGTTTAATGGACCATTGTAGTAGAAACATGAAATATAGTGATACTGAGGGTGATTTGAAGTGTGGAGGCCTGGCTAAAGAGGTTTCAGAGGGGAAGAATATTAGTAGACTGTTATTGTAATATTTGAAGAATAATGTGGCTGCTTTTTGTCCAAAAAATCTGCCTGAGGTTATGTTGTAGAGTTTTGGATCAATGGCTTTGGCAGAGGAAATTTCAAGACAGCCTAGTAGTGACTATGTCATATGGTTATTAATAGCAACGCATCCAGATTTATAATTAAAAGTATCAAGCTGAGCAAGTAAAGATACACAATGTACAGTTCGAATAGAAAAGGAACACTGGCAAGTGTGGGAGCTAAGTCCAGTGCTCAAGGAGATAACAGCTCGATACTAAGTGGAATAAAGGGAGTGGTGACCCCAGGGCAAGTTCCCACCTAGATAAGCTTCTGATTTGTGAAAAGAATTACAGATAAGCTTAAGTAGTGAAATTAATAAAGAACACTACTACAGCTAAAATCAGATTGATCCTCACCCAGTGACACCACCCCCCACTCTTGCCAATAGACAGATCATCCACACAAAAACTAAACAGAGAAATGCTGGAGTTAACTAACATCATGAATCAAATGGACCTCACAGACATCTACAGAACATTTCATACAAACACTAGTGAATTTACTTTCTTCTCAGTAGCTCATGGAACTTTCTTCAAAATTGATCATGTGACATACTAGGACACAAAGGGAGTCTCAACAGAAATAAGAAAATTGAAATAACACCCTGCATCCTATTTGACCACCATAGATTAAAGCTGGATATCAACAAAAGAAACAGCAGAAAATATATAGACTCATGAAAACTGAACAACTCACTAATTAATGAAAAATGGGTGAATGCAGAAATGAAATTAAGACCCTTTTAGGACTGAATAAAATAAAAACACAGCATACCCATGGGCACAATGAAATTGGCTCTAAAAGGCAAGTTCATAGCACTAAGTGCCTACATCAGAAAAACAGAGATCTCATATTAACAACATAGTGATGTACTTGAAAGCCCTAGAACAACAGGAAGAAATAACGCCCAAAAGAGTAGAGCACAAGAAATAATCAAACTCAGGGCTGAAATCAGTGAAATAGAAACAAACAGCCAGGTGGTACTGGCACATACCTTTGATTCCAGGACTTGGGAGGCAGAGGCAGATGGATCTCTGTGAGGTCAAGGCCAGCCACGTCTACAAAGCGAGTTCCAGGACAGCCAAAGCTACACAGTCAAACCCTGTCTCGAAAAACCAAAAGAAAAAGAAAGAGAGAAACAAGAGAAACAAAAACAATATAAAGAATCAATGAAACTAAGAGTTCATTACTTAAGAAAGTCAGCAAGATTGAGAAACCCTCAGCCAAATTAACCAAAAGACAGAGAAGATCCAAATTAATAAAAATTAGAGATGAAAAGGGGGGCATCACAGCAAATATAGAGACTGCTGCTGCATCACACACAAGATGGGCACAGGTCTAAGCCAGATGGATGGGTTCCCTGCACTGAGAGGGGTAATTGGACGTGGGGCCCCACCCTGACCAAGAAGTTATCTGCAATTGATGTCTGATGGCAAAGGGAAAATCAGTTTTCTCCAGTGGCGTCTCACTGTGTATATAAACCACACTAAAGGGCAGGCCCCATGCCCAGCAGTAGATGGCCAATGGAAAACAAACTCTGGTGTTTTTGTGGGCTTCTTGTTTCATTTTGCTGTGTTTGGGCAGTTTTTGTTCTTATTGGTTCTTTTGTTCTGACTTGGGCGAGTTTGGGGACATTATGGATTTTGTGTGTGTGTTTCTTGTTTTTTTGTTTGTTTTTTAAGGGAGAGAAAAAGAACATAAAATTGAATGGGGAGGATCTGGGAGGAATTGTGGGAGGAGAAACATGATCAAAATATACTGTATGAAAAAAAGTTATTCAATTAAAAAACGCGTATGCTTAGCATGCTCAAGATCCCAGGTTCTACCTCCAACACTCAAAAT